TTCCCAACCCAGAGATCAAACCCAGGTCTCCCACATTGCAGTAGATTCTTTACCATCGGAGACACCAGGGAAGCCCAAGAATATTGAAATGGTTAGCCTGTCCCTTCTCCAGGGGGTCTTCCCAACCCAGGAATCAAACTGGGATCTCCTGCATTATAGGTGGATTCTTTACCAGCTCAGCTACCAGGGAAGCCTGGCATGCAGTAGGTGCCTAGAAAATACATGATGGGGTTCCTGCCTCTTTTCCAGTACAATCAGGGTTACCGTGGAAGGAAATTATAGCACGTGTTATACTTATCACAGCCTTTAACACACAAACTCATTTAAAATAATAAATCACTTTGATGTATTGTAACATTTAGACCATTCTTTAAATTCATCTGCCCTTCACTTAAGTCACTGACTCATTGCCTTACCCACTTCCCATCTTTTCATCTCTTCTCTTTTCCGTTATGTCTGATCTTTTCCTACTTTTTCTCAAAACATTTCTGTAATTACTTAATGTCCATTTACCTGGTTTCTGAGGGGCTTGCATTGTCAGCTCTTTGCTTTTATTGTAGCAGTGGACTGGTTGCTCAACAGGTGCAGACCCCTGGGTACTTGCGCACGTGTAACATGCACGATGGCGGGTGCTCTTGCCCCCAGGAGGGTCCAGGGTGGGAGAGCAGCGTGGGCAGCGGCTGGTCAGGGACACACGAATGTAAGTGCTCGCTGGCTCTCCAGGAAGGGGTCTGTCACAGTGGAAGCACCGCCATCGGTAACCATCACGTCACTCTAAAAAGACCTGTGGGAGGAAGTCTGGTCCTGTGGAAGAAAGTTCTGATAAGAATCACGAGCTCTTGAGTCCTCATGGTCTTAGCCCCACCAGATCAAAATACAGAACAGGTTCTCTCAGCTTTCTTCTGTCCCAGCCTTAGTTTTTTCTGCCTAGATAGTGAAATTTAACGAAGATCCACTGGTTTTATAAATAATGTGGTGCAGCACATAGGTTTCTTTACGGTCATAGAAGATACATTCTGTCTTTTTCCTTTTAGTTACCACTAGTAACAAATATTCTATTTCTGGCTACTATTAAGGAATATAATAGTAATTTGTAAAGGGTCTACATTTGCCTGATGATTTCAGTGGGCTTCATCAAAGAATTCCAGTAAGATTAACTGTGTGTTACAGTGTCATGTTTGTGTATAGAGTTCTTTGACACATGTGCAATACCAAACATTTAAACATTTTAAGCTGGGCATTCTAAGTTTATATAATAAACACTTTTTAAAAATATGGTTTCCTGTGAGGAAGGGAGGGAACAGTAATTTTTAAAAAATTGTTTATATTTGATTGCGCTGTGTCTTCATCGCGGTGCATGGACTTCCTCTAGTTGCAGCGAGCAGGGACTGCTCTGTAATTGTGATGCCCTGGCTTCTCACTGTCATGGCCTCTTGTTGCAGAGCAGTCTGTAGGCACGCGGTTTTAGGAGTTGCAGCAGACGGGCTCAGTAGTTGGGGCTCGCAGGCCCTAGAGCACGGACTCGGTAGTTGTGGCACATGGCCTTAGTTGCTCTGCAGCTTGTGGAATCCTCCCCAACCAGGGATCAAACCCGTGTCCCCTGCATTGGCAGGTGTGTTCTTACCCACTGTACCACCAGGGAGGTCCCATATAATAAACATTTACGACTTTTGTAACAAGGGGGGGAGCCCAACAACAGTCCTTGAGCACGCACCTCCTTTGCTGTAACCATGAACCTGATTGGCTTCTCTTAGATGCTGCTGAAAGTATTCAGAGGTGATCTTCAGATGTTTGAGTTGGGGTGCAAAGAATTGGTCCTTGATTTTTGTCTCTGAAGACTTTTCTTCTCTTTTCCCTTAAAACAGCTTTAAGTCTATAACTGGTCTCCATTCAATTAGATTGTTAGTAAGTTATCAGTTCAATGCATCTAGCTGATTTGTCTTCCTGTTTTTAAATTAGAGGTGAGAAGCTGCTAATTAACTAAGTTTTAGCCTAGCATATCTAGGCACTTCAGAAATACAATGTGTAATGTATGCCTTCATGCCCTTTGAAATAAACCTAATTTTTAAAAGATATTTTAGCCATGCTGAATTAAAAGAAAGCTTTATCCTAAGTTTATGAATTACTCTTGTATGTCCTGAAATATTTTGGTTTTGTTTATAAACATAAAGAAAGGGACCTGTGAGACCTAATATGGAATATGTCAAAGTCAGAGCTCAGCGCACTTTGTGAAGTTGCTTTCTGTTCACTGAAAACCAAATAATGCCCTGTCTGAAGCCCAGGGTGCTGTCAGGTAACAAAGTGAAGCGTTTGGTGATACCAGGACAAAGAAGCTGGCAGCACACTATTAGGAAGTTTACTCATTGCCTTGTAAATGAGTAACATACTTAGATATTCTCTAATGTGAAGGTTGTTGTTGCATTAATTGGTCTTAGTCTGTAGACCGTTGGTCCTTTCCATCCTCACTTTATGCATTGTCAGAAGAGTTGGGCATGAGACACCCAAATGGAGCATAGATTCATGAAATTCAGTGCTTTCCCCAGTGCATCCTGCTCAAACACAGGTGTTTCTTTTGTTGGTTGAATACTGTCTGATTTTCATCCCTCTGTAATTTACCTGCATGGGGATAAAGAAAGCTCCTACTTATTAAATAAGCTTGAAAACAAGATGAATGCACTGGGTTCTTGGGTAGAACGTATTGGATAGCTCCCTTTATAATGAGCATTTAAAAATCTGCCCTCCTAAAACTGGAAAATGCATTCTCTCCCATATGGAAAGCAACATAGTACTGAAATATTCCTCCTTAATTTTGGTCCGAACGAACAAAAGTGTCTGTGTTTATTCCTGCCTAATGCATCACAAATCTGCTGACATGCTAACCTTGGAGTCTTGGCTGGCGTTAATCAGGCCTGTGCTCTGGCAGGAGAGCGGTACCTAATGCACTCCATCAGTGCAGTTTGCATATGGAAGTTCTCACAGGGGAGCTGCCCTGTGCCAGCTGAGGGTTACCTGCCCACTGCAGTTATTGTATGTAATTATCGAACCAATCTGTTCAGCCCAGCAGGGTTTAGATGGTAATCATGAAGCAACACTTTGGAAAAGAAGGATGTAAGGCACTCTCCCCTTCTCTCATCAGTTATATGACGTTACAGCCACTCTTCCAGCTATTTTTGAGAAGCAATACCTCCATATACCAATCTGCTAAATGAATGACTTTGAAAGTTTCTTAAGGTTTAGTCAAGATATTCTTTTTATATTTGTGACGCATTTTCTTCAGGACCATGGCGGGTATGTCTGAGTTCTCATCTTTCCACAGCCACCCTCAGCATGTTTTGGAACAGTGGGATTAATTGTGATACGTAGATAACAACACTTCTGACCACTGGGCGGTTTTAAGATGACGTCGTTTGAATAGAGTTGTGCTTTCCTGTGTAGTTGTCTGTGGAACAGAACCCAAGGCTGCCATTAGGAAAAAGAACCGTGTCCTGTCAGCAGGCATTATATTCTTTCAGAGTGTACACAGTATGGCCTAAAGCTGGGAAAATTCTTTTTTCAACAAAGTTTAGCTTAAAACTAATTGTTAGGAAAATATAAATGAGGACCTATTGATATGTTGTGATCCAAGAAATTTGGGAGGTATCAGATGATTTTCTAAATGCTACAAACTTACTTTAGGAAGCCGAGAGAAGCTCTGAGTTCTGATGTGGACTTCAACACATTTATATTTGAGACTACATGGGATAAAGCTGTATGAAAAATACAGTTTTCGGTTCGTTACTAATGTCCTTCTATAGGTATACCTACATACAGAGATGTTACGAATTTTAGGGAGGGGATGTGTGTGTGTGTATATATATGTGTATATATATATATATATATATATATATATATGATTGGAAAAGGAAATGGCAACCCACTCCAGTATTCTTTCCTGGAAAATCCCATGGGCAGAGGAGCCTGGTGGGCTACAGTTCGTGAGGTCACAGAAGAATCAAATGTGACTTAGTGACTAAACAATAAAAAATGTATATAATTATGACTGATTCGTGTTGATGTGCAACAGAGACCACCACAACATTGTAATTTTCCTCCATTTAAAAAAGATAACCAGATCACTTTCTGTGTACCTGAAACTAACACAATATTGTAACTTAACTGTATTTCAATAAAAAATAAGATTAAGAAAGTAAAAAAGAAAAGAATTTTAAAATGTTTTACACAGTATTGAACTAGTTAGAAACTATAGTTGTGATAGAAAGTAAGAAAAATAAGTTACATGAACATTTGGAAAGAATGGGTGGTGACAGAATGTAGGCATTAGCTCCTAAGTATCAATAACACTTGACTAGAAAAATACATAGAAAACAGGAAAGGCCTGAGAGAGTATTAGAAAATCCAACCTGTTTCTGAGATTTTAGGAGCACTGTATACTTTTAAGATTCTTCCTTTATAGTAAGGTTTAAGGCCCTCTTGAACTTATTAAAAAAAAAAAAAAACACGTTTATTGTAAGTCCAACTTATAGGGTATAACCACTGATGCAATACACGGGCCAGGTATATATTTTCCTATTAAGCTAATTTACTCGCCCCTGACCCCTCACACACAGTGTAAGATGGTGAAAGTGAGTATCATTGGCTTGAGCACGTCGTGGTATCAAATTTGTAAAACACTTTGGTTTCAAAAAGGGTTTCTGTGTAATCAGTCCAGGTGGCTAAAACATGACTTTCAATGATAAATTACATGAAGCATAAAAAGGATATAGCAAATGTGTCCACTCCCAGGCTAACTGTGTAGGTAAAGTTTCTCTTAACTGCATTTCCTTTCATCCCTTACGCCTTCCTTAGGCAACCCCCACCCATGAAGTTGTGTGTATTCTCCTGTATGTTTTGGTGCACACAATCCTGTATAGATACATCTATGCTAATATCTGGTAAGCTTGTATAATTATTTAACCATTATGCCACATTTCTTTTTCTTTCTTTTATTTTTTATATGTAAGAAGAGAAAGAAAGAAGCTGAGCAAAGTGTAGAATGTAGTGTTGAAGATATGGAATGCTCGGATAAACAGACTGAAGAGGCTACACACACCCGTAAGTTGAATGGTCTATTAGTTCTTATATAATAAACACAGATTTCTTCCCACTGAATAAAGGGTTAACTGTTTGGGTCATGACATTCTCATTGTAGAATTTAAAAAAGGTAAGAGAAGGTCTTATACACCATCTATCACATTGTCCCTTGTTCGTGCATTGTGTTATTTATTCTCATCATATTTCCAGTAATCCTGAACTTGGGACCAGGAGTTGGTCTCATTTTGCAGATATGGAGCCCAAGACACAGAGCATTTACATGACAGAATGTTGAGAAAGGGGTAGACGTGGAGACCAGAACACTTATTTCTCTGGCTGCTGTCTGTCCGTCTCTCCATACTTAACCACAGAACTCTGGGCTTGAAGGGGCATGTCAGGTCAGGTGGTTAGTACATGACTTACTACAGAGTCTGCCAACTCTCTGTCAACAAGTTGGGCTGCAAGGAATTAAAGCCTGGAATCGTCACTTTTCCAAGCTCTTGGAGCAGGAAGCAAGGTATAAAGTCATTTCTTCAGTGGCTCCTACACTGGTGCTGAGAGCACTGCAAGCATGGCTTCCAGAAGTGAACTTAGCAAGGCAGCATCTGCAAAGGGCAAGACGAGGTTGGACTTGGGTCTGGTTAGTGAATGACCAGCCTGTGGTGTGCAGGCACACCTGTGGGGCTTAGAAAACAGGGGGAATGTTCCAGGGTTCATGAGAGCTGGTTTACTTGCCTCGGTGAGGAGAGATTCAGAGCTGGCTACAGTACCATTCTTCACCCCCCCAAATCTCTCTCCTCTCTATCTGCCTTTTATTTATTAGTTTGTTGGCCCTGAAATGTTTCTGATTTCCGAAAGGAAAGGCTTATTTTGGGGAAAAATGTCATCAAAGTGTCAGTGCCCTGTAGAGCCAGGCCAGTGCTGTATTTTTCCTTCCCTTTGACAAGCAGCACTGATGCATGTTTGTGGAAGGCAAAAATTGACTTTGAGAGAGAATCACCTTCACCCCGATTTTACGATCATTTTCTTCATTGTACATTATGCATAGTTCGTCCTTAGGTTTATCTGAACTTACCCAAGGGAATTCTTGAGACATCTGAAGAGGGAGTGTATAACATCACTCTGGAAGCTAAAGGTTTTGAGACAGTGCCTCTCACTTTGCTGCTGCCATCTTCCATTCCCTTCTGTTTTTGTTTTCCCCCCTCCTCCCGTCTTGTTCATTTTGTTACTAGGAAGTGAGGAGTCCCGGGGAGCAATACATGGAAGTATGTCTCAGCCAGAGGTTAGTGGCAACAGCTATGATGGTGACTGGGAGCCAAATAAAGGAGCATTTATAACAATTGAGCAATATTTTTACCTAAAGAAATCCCTTACATTTAAAACGGGCTATTTTAGTTTAGGAGAGGGCCTACGTTGTTATAGTAAGGTTGATACCCATGTAGACTGAAGCCATTTCCCAGCTGTGCCTGGGGAAGCCTCCTGCCTCCCTTCATGCCTGAGGGTCGTTTGTTCCCTGAACTTTGCTTAATGAGCATTTGAGATATTTGTTTTGTTGCTGATTTTCAGTTTGACTGTAATTATGAAAAGTGTTTTTTATACCTAAAATTTTAATTTAAGGTCCTTATACTGATGGCTTTTTACCATAAAAAAAAATATATTAGTATCTTTGTTTTATTAATGACAAAAGAGAATAGACTCCATAACTAATTTAAGAACAACCCAGATTTTTTTTGATGTTAAAAAAGTGAAGATAATAGATTCTCTTTTATTCATATAAACTCTGAATTGCTTTAATTAAATGTTGTTATTTTCCCATTGTAATTCTCTTTCTCCATTAAAATATAAGGCTGGTTAAGGTATTTTGCTATCTAAATATTTATAAATGAGAGAAATTTTACCTGAGATAGTAAAATGTTCTTGCTTCTTGCAAAGAAAAAAAACCATCCAGGGGTTCATGAAAATGTATGTATTTGTATTCATCAATTTAAAGTAACTTGAAGGAGAAGGCTCATTATTACATTTGAATTTTTAAAAGAAATACATAATACGATTCAGTGAATTCTGTGTTTCTAGAGCTTTAAGATTTTGTGTCAGAAACATGTTTCAAGAATGGTTACCTCTAACAGCTGCTTTAGAAATGTCAGTTTCTTCATTAACAATTTTATTTTCAAACACAATTTATGGTTTACAATATGGTAAGAGATTTTTCTCACTGTGTGATCTTTCAGAATGCTGTGCCTAGCAAAATGGGAGCAACTTTCCTTTAATATCTATTTAGACCATTTTAAAAATGTGTATAATTTTCTTGATACACCTAAACTCATTTTGACTAGCTGGGGGTCTATTGTGTAAGAACACTTTCTGAAAGCTTTCAAAATGTGTATTGTGTAGGTTTTCTTGAAGAAAGAGAGGGGGTGATGGGGTGGTTTTCAGGAAGAACAGAGGCCTCTAATCCTTTTATTTTTATGCAAGGCATAATTTTTACCAATTGAGGAAATTTGGTAATTTGCTGCAAGTAATTTTTTTCCCCCACAAAATGATAAACCTTTAAAAAACCACATGTATTCTGGCATTTCAAAACCATGCCAATATTTCAGAATTGCACTAAAAATTAGTTAATATAGCCATGATATTTATGGCTTGTCTACTTTGTCCCTACTGTTCATACACTAGACAGTACTCAACAGCCTACTCTCGGTGATGGTATTTTTGAAGTACCTTGGATTTTGGACTATTCCTGAGGGTTCTTTGAGGAAAGCATGACATGTTTACCCCTTGAAGAGCTATGGTCTAGTAAAGGAAGAGATATTTCTAAGGCACCCTGCAAAGAAATTTCCCACTTTTTTTTTCCTTCTGCATCATGAAGAGTATCCCAGTCTTGTATATTTTAGTTTTCAAATACTAAATTTTACACATTAGTCTTATGATTGGGCCTTTTACCCATAGTAAAATATTAAGAAAGTGAGTATATATTTTAAAGGAATTGGAGGAGAAATAGGTTTTTTCCTGAAACAGCCAGAATTGATTATTAGGAAACATTTTGAATTGATACCTGTAGCAAGGTGTCTTAAGTTGCATACTACTTACTATAGAATAAATTCCAGGTGGTGATGGCATTTTTAGTCACAGTGAAAAACTTCAGATTGAATGGGGATAAGCAGCAGTGGTATTTAATAAGAGTAGAATGTCAAATTAGGACATTAATGAGAAAGTAGTTACAATTGTTAACTCTAGTGTCCTTTGTAATGTGGCAGTAGATTCAGATTTTATTGAAAGGGAGATGCATTCCTTTTGACCTTGATTTTGTGGTATTCTATTATGCCAGTTTCAGACAATGACAGCAGTCTCAGTTTTCTATGCAAAATTAATTTCAAAGTTGTTAGAGTAAAAACCTAAAAATCTGCCATGGGATATTTTTAAAAGAAGGTTGTATCACAAAAATTGAAGAAAAAAACTCTTAAGCCCACCATAGTATGTAGGGTAAGCACTATGAGTGGTGGTGGAAAAAAAAGGCATTTATATAAGTTTGAAGTTTGCATGAATTGAAATGTATGGCAACTGAATAGAAACTAGAACCTGGAAAAATTAAAAAAAAACAACTGATCTTCCAATTAAGTACCTAAATAAACCTATAATCAGAAAGCCTTTAGAAACTGTGATTAGACATGTGTGGTAGATATTTTATCCTAGATTCAAAGGATGTTTTGTTCACTTCAGAAAAGAAGTATTGATCTCTTTGTTGTTCAGTGCACTCATTGATCACTTGTGGGCCCCTCGCCGCCCTCACCCCGGTTCCGCCGCTCTCTCCTGGCGGAAGGAACCCCGAGGCCCGGGAGGCACGCTCCGCCCGCCAGCACAGGCGGCTGCGATCCGGCCGGCCTCATCCTTGCCTCTGCTGTGCTCGAGGTGGAGGTGGCCTCCGGTGTGGGGGAACAGTCTCCTTGGGGAGGCGGATCCGCGTGCCCTGGGTAAAGAAGCGCTGGTTTCTCCCAGCCGAGGAGCTGTCCAAAGGCACGTAGATGCTGTCAGATGTGACTTTTTTAGAAGGCGACTTGGTTGGGATCTGCTTAATTCCTAGTGGACAAGACTTCGCATTTCAGAATAGCCCACTGCTCTCCTGCCTGAAGAGTAAAGGGAGCAGGCTTTAAAAAGCAACGCATCTAGGCAAAATTCCTGGCTTTCCATAATATGCAACTCAGTGCTTTCCCTCAAGGAACATTTGTCTCGTTGCTATAATTTATGTTAGGAGTTAATGTTTTAAATTGCGCAATAAAAATTTGGGGGAGAAATAGTTCATGACCAGTGTAAATGGGGTATATTTTACCAGTGGATGCATTCTCATATGACCTCAAAGTAGAAGGTAGACTTTGTTAGCATGTCTTTTGACGCGCACTAAAAAAAATGACACAATTTCCATGAGATTCTCAGGGTATTAACAGTTATAAATTGGTGTGTGAATTTCATCTCCACAAATTATCGTAGCCAGATTTTAAATATTAGTAACTGTATATGGAAATACCTATATATCTGTTATTGTGCTTTTGTAAATTAATGATTAATGATTTAAATCTCTTTGTTTTCTCTTCAAGGTTCAAAAACCAGAAAGAGAGTCCAGAAGTAAATACTGTGAACTGGCTTTTCTTTTCTTCCTTTCATTTGGTTTTCCTCCTTTCAGTTTGACCTTTTCCTCTTTTTCTGTATTAAGTGTTTTATTTTCATGTGAGTCTTATGGAAATGGGGGTAACAATGAAGTAAGTACCTATGTGTTTGAAAAGCAGACTTTTTTAAATTAAATAAATACTTTATACAATTTATTAAAGCCTAATTTATAAAATTTAACAATTTTAAGGTTATACCCTTTAAGTTGTCCCATGCAGTTTGTTTGCACTTTTAATTGTTGTATGTTTTCCAGAGTATAAATGTCTGACAAAAGCCTTACTTTTAAGGAAATACACAACTTAAAAATAAAGGTCTTTTTTTGCTTGATACAAATACACAGTTTGTTGTGACCATAAGATTTTAGTTTGTATTGATTTCATTCAGTTTCACAAGCATTTATTAATCACCTGCTATATGAAATGAGAGATACAAAAAGAAGGGAAAGGATTATGGAAGGAAACATAATAAGTGTATGACTGAGAAATGAAATATGTATTTGAAAGATTACATGAGAGTTAGTTAAGTGTGCAAGCTATATGATAAGAAAACAGTATCACATGGTGGCATGATCAGAGATTTTATAGACTGGCTTCCTTTAAGGAAATACTGTCAAATATATACATATGACTTATTGTTCATTTACAGGAGATTGTTTTTCTTACAAGTTTTTTTATTTTTTTGTAGTGTATATTTGTACAGAAAACCAAACACTTCAGAGTTTAAGTGATTAGAAATTTTAAAATGTGGACTTCTTATAGTTGCATTAGAAATAAAGCTTGGAATTTAAACATTTTCAAGATTGGCTTCATTAGAGAAATTGGAATCGGATTGGATGTTCTAAGGGTGGTATGCCTTACGACTTGTAACCTATACAGTGTTTTTAGATGGTCTTTTATTTAAATTTTTAAGCACTTATTTACTATGTGTTCAGAATATAAATAGCACATTAAACTGGCAATTTCTCTTGATTAGGACAAGGCTAAAGTAGGTATTAAGAGTTTTTTCAAAAAATTGATCTGAAGAAAATATTAACTAAATAATAGTACAGGTGGATGTAGACATACCAGAAACTGTCAGGGTTGTACCAGGTTTGAGCCACTCCGAACCAACACAAAGACTTTCCCCTTTGCTCTCCAATGTGGGTATTTAGTTGTCACACAAAGTGTTTATCACTGTGGTGGTTGGATTTTAAAATATGCAAAGCAGATCTGCAACTTTCCTTTGAAGGTTAATCTTTTAAACGCCTCCTGAAGTTCTTGGGCTCTGTGTCTTTACAGAATAGAGAACTCAATTTTGGGCAGAACCGCCTCCAGTTTTCTGTAGATTGCTGGATTTTAGTACTCATCAGTGCTATGGACTCAAGTTTATTTGTAACACCTAAAATCAACTCTCGAGTTCTGTTTCAAACACATTGACGCTTAAAATAGGATAAAATGTGTGTGGCGTGTTTTTGTGTATATGCCTTAGCCTTTTTTATTTTTCAAAACACAAAAACATAGCAAAAACCTGTTGGTTAAATATTAAGAAAACAAATATTTCCTCACATATTGTTTCTAACAAGTGCTGGCATTTTCTCGAATGTTACTATATTGGCAAGGCTGCAGAAATGAAAACCCAGTAGCCGCAGTAGCCAGTTTGATTTCTCGGCTGTATCCCCTCGTTCTGCTGGTCTTCTGCTCGCTACCCCTCTCTGGTTTTTCTTACCGCACGTATTTTTCTAAAACGTGGTTAAATAACCTCCTTGTCGTTCAGGGTTAGGCTTTTTATCCTTGACTTTTTCAGTTCCATACTTGCTGTTTTCAGTCTTGTGCTGTCTTTCCGGTCCCTGCATCCAGCGGGCTCACCTTTCTTCCTTCTCCCTTCACCATCCAGCGTCCACGTGGGCTGTGTTCCTGTCCCCACCGTGGCCTGCCTTCCCCTCTATTTTCTTAGGTCCTTAGTGGTGAGCGAGGGTTTCAGCTCTGTTGAGGACCCACACCTGTGCCAGGCACTTGCCTTCAGACAGTGGGAGCTCGAGGTGCTCTGTATTTTCTAGAAGACAGCTGATAAATCTTAGATAGCCAGAGAAGCCCTGGTGTAAGGTAGCTCCTAGGTGTTCTTCAATAATGATCTTTAAGACAAATCAAACGCTAATAGGCCAGGGCAGCAAACTCCACCCCCCGCGCCCGCCCTTCACCCCCCCCAGCTACTTCTTTGAATTTCTAACTTAAATGTGCTTATCAAGAGCCAAGTTGCATAGCAGTAAATAATTGGTGGAAATATAAACACTTCATTGTATTTGTGTGTGTGTGTATCCTTGTTTATTCTTTAAAATTCTGTTTTTAGTGCTCTATTTTCTTCTGGTCATCATAGTATGTTAGTAATACATGATCACTGTAGAAAATTCAGAATATAAAGAAAAATGTCTAGCCATATTACTACCACACACAGGCAACCCACTGTTAATATTTTGACACATCTTTTCTAGCCTTTTCTATGCATTTTTAAATATCATACTTTACAAATCTTTATATTCTGCTTTGTAAAGTGAACATTAAATGCTTACCATGTTATTACAGATACTTTGTAAATACGCTTTTTGTGCTTCCATAATACTTTTTTCTTACGAATTCGTTAAACTTATATGACCATTTCCCTCATATTGGACGTTTAAGTTGTTTTCAATATTATATTATAAACAATATTCTTGGATAAAATTGGGCAGAAGTCTTTGTCCGCATGTACACGTGTTTCCTTGGTGGTGGTGGTTTAGTTGCTAAGCCGTGTCTGACTCTTGCGACCCCATGGACTGTAGCCCACCAGGCTCCTCTGTCCATGGGATTCTCCAGGCAAGAACACTGGAGCGGGTTGCCATTTCCTTCTCCAGGGGATCTTCCCGACCCAGGAACTGAGCCCGGGTCTCCTGCACTGCGGGCAGATTCTTCACCGACTGAGCCGTTGAGGAGCCCTGAGGCAGTGATCCGAGTGGGACGCGCCTGAGTGACGTCACTCTCACTTTCAAAGGGCCGACTCCCGTGTCAGGGTCCGGCTCGGCCTGGCGGCATCTCCTTAGATTTTCAAAAGGGAACGTCTGGGTGACGGACTATGAAAATGGAGGGTTATTGGTGCATGTTGTCAGCTTGCTTTGCAAAACGACACCAGTTAACACTTTACCCAGTAAATCAGTGCTCAGCTTAACATTTTTGTCATGCTACTACTATATTTTTTACACTTTACTACTTATTTTTACACTTGAAGGTAATTTTTTTTAATTGCTAGTGAACTTGAGCAATTTTTTATTTTAAGACTTAAGTTTTGTGGCTTTCATCTATTGATCTTTTTCATCGTAATTTCTGCCACTGTTTTAAAATATTTCCCATCCTGATATCAAATGCTTACCAGGGCTTCTTTTTTTAATGCTTCTGAATTTTTAATCTATATGAAATGTAGTGTGGTATATGTATATCATGAGATGAGGATCACAATGGATTTTTTTTCAAATAGCTAACCAATAGTTTGACTACCATTTGTTAAATTCTCTTCCCCACCCCCTTCCCACTCTGGTCTGTTTTGCCTGTTTCATTACATGGTAAGTTCTTATACCAGAATCTGTTTCTGACTGTCAGTTCAGTTTCATTGATCTGTCTTGTCTGTTCTTATGCCAGCACCACACTGATTTAATTAGTGCCATTTTACTTATTAATTCTTATTTACTGCCCAAACCACAGTAACAAAAATCAAAATGGAAAAGAAAAAATTCATTTATGATCTCACCATTGCCACAAAAATCAAACGCTTATTCTTTTGTTGTATTATTTTTTAGTCCTGTTTCATATTTATATAATTTTTCCAGTTGTACTAGTTGGCACTGTTAAAGTTTTGCATATGTGTCTTTTAAAGTCCCACAGTTTATTCTATATACCCGTCATTCATTAAGCTCTACTGATATAAAAAATACAAGATACACTGAAGAATTAAAATTGGAAAGGGGTTCTTTAGGTAAATACAGCCACACTCACTGTATTAGTGATTCTGTGCAGTATGTTGTTGCCCAGATGGTTTAGGCAACTCTTACCACTTGGTTGTTATTTTACAAATAAAATAACTACTGTTTCCACTGTATTAAGGCTGTGTTATTCATATATTGATGAGCTTTCTTTTTTTTGTAACAGTAGCATTTTGCAGCTGATGAGTATAATCCTGAATTTTTGTAGTTCTGACTCGTCATGAAATTAGGTGTAAAATTTCTCTGTTGAGCAAAGTACAGATTTATTTGTGAATTGCAAAAGCCTCTTCAGAAAAACTCTTTCTTCTTGTCTTGGTTAGGTCCACCATTTGTCAGAGTCTGAGTCATCAGTGGAAAAAAGATCATCTTTGTGGTTGGAGTTACAGAGGCAGGAAGGAATTTTAAAGGCACGGGTCCAGCCTTGGGTGGGGGTGGGGAGGAAGTGGGACAATCATCTGAAATCTGTTTCCATTTTTGTGTAGGTTGTTTTTCTGCTTCTGGTGTCTTTTAGAAGCAAGTGGTCACGATTTACAGATGTGATCTCAGTTATGTAAATAAGCATATTTTAACACCTGGGCCTCAGTTTGTTTAATAACTAAAAAATTGCTGCATTTTACATTTTTTCTGACCTTAACACAAAATTCATAGTACAGAAGTTCATGGTGCATCTTCTTGGTATTCTCAGATGTGAGAGATGTCTCAAGCTTGCCTCACATGGTTTGTATGTGTACTTAAAATTCAGAGTGAAGCAACTGAAGGGTCTGCTAACCCTAAACGCTGTGAAGTTCTAGGGCTGTATATCTCGGAAGATTACAACTGGAAGAACACATTGTTCTGCTACATTGACTGGCCAAGAGAGTAATGGTTTATTTCTTGAACTTTTCAAGGTAGAGACCTCTGCCTTTAAGATCCTTAGGAAGACATTCATGTTCTAGGCACTTGAGATTCCACACCGCACTGCCCCCACAACCCCGGGGAGGGGGGGGGGGAGCTTTTTTTTTTTTTTAATCTACATGTTTTTTTTAACTCCTGTAGAATATTTTGGTGCTGCTGACCCATGAGTCAGTCTCCCTGGAGGAGTGCTATGCACCTGTTTAGCACTGGTTGCCAAAGTGTGTGATGTGGTCCACATGTAAATGCTCCATCACCTTCTACCAGCTCCCGAAGTTGTTTTGTTTTTTGTCCCAGTTTCACTGAGAAATAATAGACATCACTGTAGGTTTCATAAGGTGAAAAGCACCTCTCAGGTTTCTCCTCCAAAAATTCTTGGCAGATGTTTAAAAACTTAAGACCAAAATACATAGCTTACCCTATAATTTATCATTTAAAATAGGATCATTTAGACATTTCTTAAGAAACACAAGCAATCACAGTGGGCTCCCCACCCCCACCCCCCCCACACACCACCCTTTCTTAAAGCTCCTAACTGTACTTTTAAAAAAGAAGTCTGTATTCCAGGTGCTGCAAGACCCCAAATAAGTCTTTGATATGTCATGCAAAGTGTTCAGAAAGCAAAGGCGGCTGAAATTACATCAAAATGATTTCCAGGGTCCCTTCTGTTCGTGTGGAGGTCAGAGGAACCGCAGCCTGCAGAATCACAATTCGGGGTCAAGAATCTGGAACCCCCGCTGTTCCCAATGAACTGTGTGATGCTCACAGAGGATGTTTGGAAGAGAGGGTCTCGCTAAGGGAACAGTCCTGATAATACCTGGTTGGTCTTTTAGCAGCAGAATTGGGGGGGGGGATACGAATACGAAACTTTTAAAATGGTGGTTGTGGTTTGTTGGTTTTTTTTTTTCTGGT